GCGCATTGTCCGTAATAAACTGGATTACATGCTTATCTCCCACCTCCTCACTATCTGATCATATAGTCGTACGTAGAAGTTTACATCCTTTTTCGTCCCTGATATATTTTTGCTAGACAAAAAAGTTATATATTTTGGGGAATAGGCCAAGAAGTTTAAAAACTCCTTTTTGCTAACTTTATTCAACCAACCATCACTCATGAGAGTAATGCTTGTCCTTGGCCAACTCTGTTTATATTCTTCAATCCACTTTGTAACTTCCTCCACCTCTTCATCTAATATTGGCCCACTGAGCTCATATGTCGTCGGGGGTTTTACCCCAAGCCCGACTCTCTGGATTGCACCGACCATAGGTGGAAAATATGGGCTATTGGCTGCATCAAAGAGAATCCCTTTATCGTAGAGAACCATTTACCAACATATCTCCCCAACATGTTTCTTGTACCTTTAACTATGCCTTTTAAGGTCATCTGTTATGACTTAGGCTTTGAGAGAAATGGATCTATACGACCATGACCTGCAATACTGGTACTCCTAGGTAACCTAGAAACAATTTCTTCAACGTCTGATTCTTCTTTATACATATTGCCACCAACCCCTCCATACATATTTGAGCTGGGCCCACCACATATGCTCGAGCTGGGCCCGCTATGCAGGTCTGAGCTAGGCCCGCCATGCATGTCTAAGCTAGGCCCATGTCATAACCACCAGGCATTCTAAACCCACATTCCTTTTGGTATGTTTCATGTAAACTCATTCTTGTGGCAATCTCCAAGTCATTATTATATTGCTCTTCTATATTATTCCCGTTTGATGGCATATATAAACTACATATCTCTTCATCCATACTCTGCCTTGCAATTTTTTTCCCTTTGGTAGCCTTGAAAAATGATGTTATCTGCTTTCTTACATTATTAGGGATACTATTGCACGCAAAAACATCTCCCTTAACCCTAGCCAAGTGTTGCTTGAACCTATGTACCCCACTACTTATCAATCTTTGACAGTAATTACAAATAATTTTGTGTTTTTTGTTGGGATCAAGTCTGACCCCATGTTGCCATGCGGGGTCTTCGGCAAATCTTGCCATGGTTCAACTTTAAAATGTAAAAGGTTAAAAATTAACCTGAGAGTTGAACATGAAAAATAATCACCATGTGTAGTAATAATATGTAGGGGTAGTTCATGAAGTTATATTTGTTAGTTAATGCAAAATACTTCTATTAACAAAAATATTTTAATTCCTACTGGAAAAAATAATTTATTTATGCAATATTATAGATAAAAATAGCCTATATCAGCCACTACATAAAGAACAATAAATT